TTGTATTGGTGAATGGGTGGGAAGGTGGTGGGAGGGGAATAATAGGTTGATTTTAACATTTCTGCCTGAAGATAAACTTCAAGGCTTATTTGGTTATATAATCCTAGCATCTTTGTTAGGATCTAAGAATCCCATGTGCATTGCCAGGTGGGCTATTCTCACTGAATTTTGAACTCTCAGTAAGTGAAAGATAAATGTTGGAAATCAACCAAAGAGTGCTAAAGCAGGATAAATAAAATAACCTGAATTCAATTTCAGCTTTCCTATTATTATTTTATGACAATACTGGTAAATAATAAATTGCGCATGCAAGCTATATAACCTCACTCTTCACAGTAATTATTGTGAAACTTTTTTTCCCCGGTTTTCCAGCCATCTTCCTTCCTACTGCATCCTGCTCTTGTGCTCTACTATAGACAAAATGATTAGAAGTGGGAGGAATAGAGGAACAGAAGGTTAAAAGCTAGCAGGCACTAACTGAATATGTAGCACTGCGAGTTAAAGTTTTTTTTTTTCTCTTTTATCATACAGTACAATAAGTTCAGGATTTTATCTTGAAAAGTAATGGAAAAAGCATAGCTGATATAAAAGAACTTGAATGTAAAACGTCTGATATACATTATATGGGAAAAAAAATGATAGCAGCAATTTCATTAAGGATTCTTCACAAGCATATCATTGTGCTGCACTTTCTGAATAATGTGCATTATTATGTTCAAATGAAATTACATACTATTTTTCAAATAACTGGTAATAGAGTTTTATGTCATTTTGTAATAGAATAATTTGCACCTATATTCTCAATCATGGGTCACTTAAGTAATTTGTAATTGGCTTTGTGAATAATAGGGAAATAAAGAATAGAATTACAATTGACATTTTAATGTCTAATTTTCCTATGTAATATGTGTGTGTGTGTTTTATTCCATGTATAAATATGGAGAAGCTTTAAGATCTGAAGTAAATAAAGCAATAAAATAAAGTGTTTTATACTCAAAATCAAAATGCTCCTGTTAATAGCTTCTTAAATCTACATATGGCTGAAAACCAATTAACATGTCAACTATTTTATTATGCAAATACCATCTTATATGCCACCCTGTTGTTTTACTAGAGGGAATTGCATTCAAAGGCTGTTGTAAAAAAATATTAAAACGTCCACCTGGCCATTTTCCTAATTGGATTAGATTAGATGTGAAAGTTAAAACTAAAGCTTATTCAGCTTATATTTTGCCATTTATTGTCCCCCCTTCCCTCCTCATCAATAACTGTTTGAATAAAACCTACTCTTTCCACTACCAACTCCTCCCAGCAAATCACGCACTGCTTATGAGATTGCCAATCACTTCAAAAATGATTGATGCAATTTGCAGGGGCAACTCCACTGCACAGATATCTGTCCCACTTAACATACCCTGTACAAAACCACATTCAATACTTTCCTCTTTGGCCTTGCTATTACTGAAGAGGTTGCTAAAGTTTTCTCAGAAGTCAGCCTTATCACTAGAGATGAGCGAAGTATTCAAAAATTCGATTCGACTGATTCGGCGAATTCGTGGAAAAATTTTGATTCGAGTCGAATATATTCGCTGTGAATTTAACTTAAAAAAGGGTGTTTCTAGGCTTCAGAGAGACTTAATATTAGCTGAACACTGTGTACCTTTAATTTAAATGCCCTTGGAGTCTGCTGGGGAAGAGAAATAATACTGTCAGTCAGTATGACATGCAGATGAGTGCCGTCGATCTTAGAATCACCGCACACTTCACTCATTTGGCCAGTCACGGGGCCAAAACCAGAGTGTGGAGCCACAGTGTGGCGGTGGAGGCAGCAGCAATGGGAGGCCATACAGCACCCTATGACAAAAATGGAAACCACCAGCAGTGTGAGGAGACCTGAAAGTGGCAGCATGAGGAGTCGGTACGGGGGCCCATGGCAGATTACAGGCCTGGCAGCAGCAATGGGAGGCCGTACAGGGACCCATGACACAATCTGGACCTGGCAGCAGCATGGGGAGGCGGTACAGGGGCCCATGACAGATTACGGGCCTGGCAGCAGCATTTGGAGTCGGTACACTGGGGGCCCATGACACACTCTGGACCTGGCAGCAGCATGAGGAGGCGGTACAGGGGCGCATGACAGATTACGAGCCTGGCAGCGGCAACTTGGACAGGAGGACGTTCAGTTTCTGCACCGTCTGGTGCGTGCTCGCAAACTGTTGTCTCTTGGAAACGGATTCCAAGAAAGACTGCTGACGGAATCCGTGAAGAGGAGTAGCAGGAGAAGGAGCATCTGAACGAGCGGAATAATGCCAACAATGGACAACAGGGGCCCATGACAGATTACGGGCCTGGCAGCAGCATGAGGAGTCGGTACGGGGGCCCATGGCAGATTAGGGCCTGGCAGCAGCTATGGGAGGCCCGTAAATCTCTGCCAGCACCCTATGTGACAAAAAATGGAACCCACCAGCAGTGTGAGGAGACCTGAAAGTGGCACATGGCAGAGTGTGGCGATGGAGACAGCAGCAATGGGAGGCCGTACAGGGACCCATGACAGACTCTGGACCTGGCAGCAGCATGAGGAGGCGTATAGGGGCCCATGGGCAGATTAGGGGCCTGGCAGCAGCTATGGGAGGCCCGTAATCTGCCAGCACCCTATGACAAAAAATGGAATACACCAGCAGTGTGAGGAGACCTGAAAGTGGCACATGGCAGAGTGTGGCGATGGAGACAGCAGCAATGGGAGGCCGTACAGGGACCCATGAGAGACTCTGGACTTGGCAGCAGCATGAGGAGGCGGTATAGGGGCCCATGGCAGATTAGGGGCCTGGCAGCAGCTATGGGAGGCCCGTAATCTGCCAGCACCCTATGACAAAAAATGGAACACACCAGCAGTGTGAGGAGACCTGAAAGTGGCACATGTTTGGGCATGATTCATGGCGGATTTAGTCAGTTGTGTCAGGAACTGGTAGTTTGAAATCCAGACTAATCCACGCCTGATTCATTTTCACAAACGTCAGTCTCTCCACACTTTGGGTGGACAGTCGTGTCCTCCGCGGAGTTGCAATACCTCCTGCCGCACTAAACACGCGCTCCGATGCCACGCTACTGGACCTGGCCGGGCATGACAGCCTTTCAAGGGCAAATTCAGCTAGTTGGGGCCAAAGGTCAAGTTTCGTTGCCCAGTAGTCAAGGGATTGTCTACCTCGGTTGGCAGGGTGCTGTCCAAGTAGGCCTAAGCCTGTTGTTTGAGGTCCTGCTCCAGGTCCACCTGATGCTGCTGCTGCTGCTGCTGCTGCTGCGGCTGCTGGTAGTAGTTTCCTCACTGCGCTGGTGAAGAAAGCTACTCATCATCGACTGCAGACTGAGGCAGCCGCTGCTGGGTGAAGCTGCCACTGCTCCTACCACCCCACCCCCTCCCCTGCTGCCATGGCAGCGGAACGCGAGCGCACAGGGCCCACAGTGTCTGAGGGATGGACGTTGGCGCAACAGGCAGAGACCAGCTGACTACACATAGGTGGTTTTTATAGTACGTTATTTTGGCCTCCCTCTCAGCAGGTGTGAAAAAGGCCACCACCATTTTTGAACGGTAGCGAGGGTCCAACAAGGTGGACAGCCAAAAAGTCATCCCTCTGTCTGATGGTTATTATTCGGGCTGTCGCTACGCAAGCAACCGAGCATGCTATGGGCCATTTGTGCCAAGGATTGCGAGGGACTCCCTGCCTCCATCTCCACAGCATACTGCCACGGTGCGTCTGGGTCCTCTGTCTCCTCCTCCTCCTCCTCTACCAGATGCTCCTGCTCCTCCCACTCCTGTCCGCTGAGTGAAAAAACCACCCATTTCACTCAATAATTCCTGAGCACCAATGTCCTCCTCTACCTCCTCCTCTTCTTCCTGTCCTGCCCCCACAGGGGTCATGTGGCGTTGAGATCTGTGCGCCACGTCTACCGCACCCTGACCAGCCATTGTTAACAGCATTTGTTCCAGGACGTGCAACAGAGGAATGACGTCGTTCATACCCATAGTCCCTGCCGACTCACGAATAGCGTGGCCTCCTCAAAGGGCCTGAGCAAGCGCAGGGTGTCACGCATGAGCTGCCAATGGCTGACATCTAAGTTACACAGGGAGTACCTTTATCCGCTTTTTAACATCAGGAAATCGGTGATGGGCCTTTTCGCTGTTCGTAAAGGGCGGTCTAACATATGTAGGGTTGAATTCCACCTTGTTGCAACGTCACAGCATGAGGAGTCGGTACGGGGGCCCATGGCAGATTACGTGCCTGGCAGCAGCAATGGGAGGCCCGTAATCTGCCAGCACCCTATGTCAAAAAAATTCAACACACCAGCAGTGTGAGGAGGAGACCTGAAAGTGGCACATGGCAGAGTGTGGCGATGGAGACAGCAGCAATGGGAGGCCGTACAGGGACCCATGACACACTCTGGACCTGGCAGCAGCATGAGGAGGCGGTATATAGGGGCCCATGGCAGATTTAGGGGCCTGGCAGCAGCAATAGGAGGCCCGTAATCTGCCAGCACCCTATGTCAAAAAATTCTACACACCAGCAGTGTGAGGAGACCTGAAAGTGGCACATGGCAGAGTGTGGCGATGGAGACAGCAGCAATGGGAGCCCGTACAGGGACCCATGAGAGACTCTGGACCTGGCAGCAGCATGAGGAGGCGGTATAGGGGCCCATGGCAGATTAGGGGCCTGGCAGCAGCTATAGGAGGCCCGTAATCTGCCAGCACCCTATTTCAAAAAATTCAACACACCAGCAGTGTGAGGAGACCTGAAAGTGGCACATGGCAGAGTGTGGCGATGGAGACAGCAGCAATGGGAGGCCGTACAGGGACCCATGAGAGACTCTGGACCTGCAGCAGCAGCATGAGGAGGCGGTAAAAGGGGGCCCATGGCAGATTAGGGGCCTGGCAGCAGCTATGGGAGGCCCGTAATCTGCCAGCACCCTATGATGTCAAAAAATTCAACACCCAGCAGTGTGTGAGGAGACCTGAAAGTGGCACATGGCATGAAGACTGTGGACCTGGCAGCAGCATGAGGAGGCGGTGAGGAGGCGGTATAGGGGCCCATGGCAGATTAGGGGCCTGGCAGCAGCTATGGGAGGCCCGTAATCTGCCAGCACCCTATGTCAAAAAATTCTCAACACACCAGCAGTGTGTGAGGGAGACCTGAAAGTGGCACATGGGCAGAGTGTGGCGATGGAGACAGCAGCAATGGGAGGCCGTACAGGGACCCATGACAGACTCTGGACTTGGCAGCAGCATGAGGAGGCGGTATATAGGGGCCCATGGCAGATTAGGGGCCTGGCAGCAGCTATGGGAGGCCCGTAATCTGCCAGCACCCTATGTCAAAAAATTGAACACACACCAGCAGTGTGTGAGGAGACCTGAAAGTGGCACATGGCAGAGTGTGGCGATGGAGACAGCAGCAATGGGAGGAGGCCGTACAGGGACCCATGAGAGACTCTGGACCTGGCAGCAGCATGAGGAGGCGGTATATAGGGGCCTATGGGCAGATTAGGGCCTGGCAGCAGCTATGGGAGGCCCGTAATCTGCCAGCACCCTATGTCAAAAAAATTCAACACACCAGCAGTGTGTGAGGAGACCTGAAAGTGGCACATGGCAGAGTGTGGCGATGGAGACAGCAGCAATGGGAGGCCGTACAGGGACCCATGAGAGACTCTGGACCTGGCAGCAGCATGAGGAGGCGGTATATAGGGGCCTATGGCAGATTAGGGGCCTGGCAGCAGCTATGGGAGGCCCGTAATCTGCCAGCACCCTATGTCAAAAAATTCTACACACCAGCAGTGTGTGAGGAGACCTGAAAGTGGCACATGGCAGAGTGTGGCGATGGAGACAGCAGCAAATGGGAGGAGGCCGTACAGGGACCCATGAGAGACTCTGGACCTGGCAGCAGCATGAGGAGGCGGTATATAGGGGCCCATGGCAGATTAGGGGCCTGGCAGCAGCTATGGGAGGCCCGTAATCTGCCAGCACCCTATGTCAAAAAAATTCAACACACCAGCAGCAGTGTGAGGAGACCTGAAAGTGGCACATGGCAGAGTGTGGCGATGGAGACACAGCAGCAATGGGAGGCCGTACAGGGACCCATGAGAGAGACTCTGGACCTGGCAGCAGCATGAGGAGGCGGGTATATAGGGCCCATGGCAGATTAGGGGCCTGGCAGCAGCAGCTATGGGAGGCCCGTAATCTGCCAGCACCCTATGTCAAAAAATTCTACACACACACCAGCAGTGTGTGAGGTGAGAGACCTGAAAGTGGCACATGGCAGCAGAGTGTGGCGATGGAGGAGACAGCAGCAATGGGAGGCCGTACAGGGACCCATGACAGACTCTGGACCTGGCAGCAGCATGAGGAGGCGGTATATAGGGGCCCATGGCAGATTAGGGGCCTGGCAGCAGCTATGGGAGGCCCGTAATCTGCCAGCACCCTATGTCAAAAAATTCACACACCACACCAGCAGTGTGAGGAGGAGACCTGAAAAGTGGCACATGGCAGAGTGTGGCGATGGGAGACAGCAGCAATGGGAGGCCTACAGGGACCCATGAGAGACTCTGGCAACCTGGCAGCAGCATGAGGAGGCGGTATAGAATAGGGGCCATGGCAGATTAGGGGCCTGGCAGCAGCTATGGGAGGCCCGTAATCTGCCAGCACCCCCTATGTCAAAAAATTTGCACACACCAGCAGTGTGTGAGGAGACCCTGAAAGTGTGGCACATGGCAGAGTGTGGCGATGGAGACAGCAGCAATGGGAGGCCGTACAGGGACCATTGAGACAGACTCTGGACCTGGCAGCAGCATGATGAGGCTGGTATCGGTATATAGGGGCCTATATGGCAGATTAGGGGCTGGCCTGGCAGCAGCTATGGGAGGCCCCGTAATCTGCCAGCACCCTATGTCAAAAAAACACACACCAGCAGTGTGAGGAGACCTGAAAGTGGCACATGGCAGAGAGTGGGCGATGAGACAGCAGCAATGGGAGGCCGTACAGGGACCCATGAGAGAGACTCTGGACCTGGCAGCAGCATGAGGAGGCGGTATATATAGGGGCCCATGGCAGATTAGGGGCCTGGCAGCAGCTCACAGGGAGGCCCGTAATCTGCCACACACCCTATGTCAAAAAATTCTACACACACCAGCAGTGTGTGAGGGAGACCTAGCTGCAAGAAAGTGGCACATGTCAGAGTGTGGCGAGTGGAGACAGCACCTACTCTGTTAGCTCTTCCTCACTGTACAGTGGGGCTGAGCCCACAGCATGCGATACATGAGGAGGCTTGCTTGTGAGGGAACACCCATGGACAGGGGCAGATTAGAGGACACTGTGATTTCAGTGGGCTTGGTCCCGGGCCATGCCAACTAACGGTTGTGTCTGACGTACCGTACCACCGACCGTCACCTGTAGGTGTCAGAGGTGACCTGGGAAGAGGAAGACGACCGACGTGCCAACCAATCGATGACGGTGGCAGGGTTGTCGAGTGGAGGACACGACCGCTGGATGACACCGGGAAGCACTGGCCTCTGGCTGCGAATAATGACCCTGCTGCCTCGACCCCTTCCCTCTGCTGCCACGTCTGCTCGCTCCTAAAACATTGCCTCCTCTGCCACTCCACTGCCTGCATGTTGTCTGACATACAATTCTTTAATTAAACGATTATGTGTCCCCTGAGTAACAATTCTGTGTCCCTGAGTAACAATTCTGTGTCTGTGCGAGTAACAATTCTGTGGCCCCCTAAGTAAACGGTTCTGTGGCCCTCAGTAACAATTCTGTGTCCCTGAGTAACAATTTCGTGTCTGTGCCCGAGTAACAATTCTGTGGCCCTCAGTAAGTAACATTCTGTGGTCCTGGCGAGTCGAAACATTCTGTGTCCCTAAGTAACAATTCTGTGGCCTCTAAGTAACAATTCTGTGGCCCTCAGTAACAATTCTGTGTCTGTCCCCTGAGTAACAATTCTGTGGCCCTCAGTAACTACTGTCCCTCGTAAACAATTCTTTCTGGCCCTAAGTAACAATTCTCTGGCACTCAGTAACAATTCTGTCCTGTCCCTGAGTAACAATTCTGTGTGGCCCTAATAACGTTTCTGTGGCCCTGAGTAAATATTCTCTGTGCACAATTCAGTAAACAATTCTGTGTCCCTGTGGAGTAACAATTCTGTCTGGCACTCAGTAACAATTCTGTCTGTCCCTAAGTAAAAATTCTGTGGCCCTCAGTAAAGTTTCTGTGGCCCTGAGTAACAATTCTCTGGCACCCAGTAACAATTCTGTCTGTCCCCTGAGTAACAATTCTCTGGCACTCAGTAACAATTCTGTCTGTCCCTGAGTAAAAATTCTGTGGCCCTAAGTAAAGTTTCTGTGGCCCTGAGTAACAATTCTCTGGCACTCCTGCAGTAACAATTCTGTCTGTCCCTGAGTAACAATTCTCAGGCACTCAGTAACAATTCTGTCTGTCCCTGAGTAAAAATTCTGTGGCCCTAATTAAAGTTTCTGTGGCCCTAAGGTAACAATTTCTGGCACTCAGTAACAATTCTGTCTGTCTGACTCCATTCTGTGTAACAATTCTGTGTCTGGCACTAGTAACAAATTCTGTCTGTGAGTAATAAAAGTAAGTAAATTCTGTGGCCCACTCAGTAACAATTCTGTGTGTCCCTGGCCCTGAGTAACAATTCTGTCTGTCCCTGAGTAACAATTCTGTGGCCCTAAGTAAAGTTTCTGTGGCCCTGAGTAACAATTCTCTCTGGCACTCCGTAACAATTCTGTCTGTCCCTGAGTAACAATTCTGTGGCCCCTAACTAGCGTTTCTTTGTCCCTAAGTAACAATTCTGTCTGGCCCTGAGTAACAATTCTGTGCCCTGCTAAGTAACAATTCTGTGGCCCTAAGTAACAATTTCTGTGGCCCTGAGTCAGTAACAAGTTGTGTCTGTGCGAGTAACAATTCTGTGTCCCTGAGAGTAAAATTCTTCTGCTGTGGCCCTAATAAAGTTTCTGTGGCCCTGAGTAACAGTTTCTGTGTCCCTGCGAGTAACAATTCTGTGTCTGTGCTGAGTAACAATTCTGTGGCCCTAAGTAAAAGTTTCTGTGGCCCTAAGTAACAATTCTCTGGCACTCAGTAACAATTCTGTCTGTCCCTGAGTAACAATTCTCTGGCACTCAGTAACAATTCTGTCTGTCCCTGAGTAAAAATTCTGTGGCCCTAAGTAAAGTTTCTGTGGCCCTGAGTAACAATTCTCTGGCACTCAGTAACAATTCTGTCTGTCCCTGAGTAACAATTTCTCTGGCACTCAGTAACAATTTCTGTCTGTCCCTGAGTAAAAATTCTGTGGCCCTAAGTAAAGTTTCTGTGGCCCTGAGTAACAATTCTTCTCTGGCAATTCTCTGGCCGTAACAATTCTGTCTGTCCCTGAGTACAATTCTGTGGCCCTAACTAGCGTTTCTTTGTCCCTAAGTAACATTTCTGTGGCCCTGAGTAACAATTCTGTGTCTGTGCGAGTAACAATTCAATTCTGTGGCCCTAAGTAACAGTTCTGTGGCCCTCAGTAACAATTCTGTGGTGCGAGTAACAATTCTGTGTCTGTCCCGAGTAACAATTCTGTGGGCCCTAAGTAACAGTTTCTGTGGTCCCTCGAGTAACAATTTCTGTGTCTGTGCGAGTAACAATTCTGTGTCTGTGCGAGTAACAATTCTGTGGCCCTAAGTAAAGTTTTTCTGTGGCCCTAAGTAACAATTCTCTGGCACTCCCAGTAACAATTCTGTCTGTCCCTGAGTAACAATTCTCTGGCACTCAGTAACAATTCTGTCTGTCCCTGAGTAAAAATTCTGTGGCCCTAAGTAAAGTTTCTGTGGCCCTGAGTAACAATTCTCTGCACTCAGTAACAATTCTGTCTGTCCCTGAGTAACAATTCTCTGGCACTCAGTAACAATTCTGTCTGTCCCTGAGTAAAAATTCTGTGGCCCTAAGTAAAGTTTTCTGTGGCCTGAGTAACAATTCTCTGGCACTCCGTAACAATTCTGTCTGTCCCTGAGTAACAATTCTCTGGCACTCAGTAACAATTCTGTCTGTCCCTGAGTAAAAATTCTGTGGGCCCTAATTAAAGTTTCTGTGGCCCTAAGTAACAATTCTCTGGCACTCAGTAACAATTCTGTCTGTCCCTGAGTAACAATTCTCTGGCACACTCCGTAAGTAAATTCTGTCTGTCCCTGAGTAACAATTCTCTGGCACTCAGTAACAATTCTGTCTGTCCCTGAGTAAAAATTCTGTGGCCCAGTAAGTAAATTTCTTCTTTCTGTGGCCCTGAGTAACAATTCTCTGGCACTCCGTAACAATTCTGTCTGTCCCTGAGTAACAATTCTCTGGCCTCTAACTAGCGTTTTCTTTGTCCCTAAGTAACAGTTCTGTGGCCCTGAGTAACAATTTCTGTGTCTGTGCGAGTAACAATTCTGTGCCCTAAGTAACAGTTCTGTGGCCCTCAGT